CCTCGTCATGGAGAGCGCCGGGATGGTGAAGATGGCCACCGGTGATGGATTCCCCCTCCGGCAGGGTGCCGGAACAGGCTCGCGAGAGGTTTTTGGTGGCTACAGAGGCTTGCGGCGGCGGAACTCTCGATCTATTGTGCTCCCCGATGTTTTTAGGGTATATGGAGATATATAGGCAAAAGAAGTCGGTCAGGGAAGCCACGAGGGGCCCACGAGGGTGGGGGCGCGCCCAGGGGTAGGGCGCGCCTCCCTACCCCGTGGCTTCCTTGTTGCTTCCGTTACGTGCACTCCAAGTCTCCTGGATTGCTTCCGTTCCAAAAATAACTTTCCCGAAGGTTTCATTCCGTTTGGACTCCGTTTGATATTCCTTTTCTTTGAAACACTGAAGCAGGCAAGAAAACAGCAATTTGGGTTGGGCCTCCGGTTAATAGGTTAGTCCCAAAAATAATATAGAAGTGCTTAGTAAAGCCCATAAATATCCAAAACAGATAATATAATAGCATGAATGCTTCATAAATTATAGATACATTGGAGACGTATCAACGAGGCAGGGGGCGCGCACAGGGGGGTGGGCTCGCCCCCCACCCTCGTGGGCAGCCCGAGACTCTTCTGGCCCAACTCTTTCACTCCAGGGGCTTCTTTTGGTCCATAAAAAATCATCAAAAATTGGCACGTTAATTGGACTCTATTTGGTATTCCTTTTCTGTAGAACTCAAAAACAAGGAGAAAACAGAAACTGGCACTGGGCTCTAGGTTAATAGGTTAGTCCCAAAAATCATATAAAATAGCATATAAATGCATATAAAACATGCTAGATGGATAATATAATAGCATGGAACAATCAAAAATTATAGATACGTTGGAGACGTATCAAGCATCCCCAAGCTTAATTCCTGCTCGTCCTCGAGTAGGTAAATGATAAAAACAGAATTTTGGATGTGGAATGCTACCTAGCGTATTTCTCAATGTAATTTTCTTTATTGTGGCATGAATGTTCAGATCCAAATGATTCAAGATAAAAGTTCATATTGACATAAAAATAGTAATACTTCAAGCATACTAACAAGTAATCATGTCTTATCAAAATAACATAGCCAAAGAAAGCTTATCCCTACAAAATCATATAGTTAGGCCATGCTTCATTTTCGTGGCCGAATGATGGGCCGTCATAGTCACCGTTGCCGCCATTGCGGTGAAACCCGGGTGGGCTGCGACGGAAATCGACCACGAGAACTTCTGTCGCAGGGTCACAACTCCCGCTCTCGGAAAACGTATCTGCAGAGCCAGTCGACAGGTCGACTGGACCGCAGTGAAATTCGTCGGGCTCGATCGTCGCGATTTGAGGGGTGGCCGTCTGGCGAGTCACTGCATGCTTCACCCATCGCTGGAGCCGCGACCGACCAGATCGCTTGCGACGGCGTCCAGCGGAGTGAGCAGGCGACGCGAAGACCGATCGATACGGAGTCGACGGCTGTCGTAGGAGGACACCGTAGGCACTCGCACGGAAGTGCGACGCTCCATGGACCGGGAGAGCCTCGACGTCGAGGGGGCTTCTTGGAGCTAGGTAGAGTCGTCGGCAACGAAAGTGAGCGCGCCGAGTCGGAACTCGCGACCCATGACCAAACCGCCACCGGAAACCATGTTGATGAAGATCGGAGAAAATGCAACCTCGCCGGAAGTTGCCAAGACACTATGCCCCACGGTGGGCGCCAACTGTCGTGGTTCTAAGTCTGACAGTAAGAGTAGGGGTACGTAAGAGGAGGCAAGGCCCTAGCTACGGCGAGGTTGTACACACGAGTTTACGAGTTCAGGCCCCTCTCGGAGGAGGTAAAAGCCCTACGTCTCGGTGCCCTGAGGCGGTCGACTGGAATATGGGTGTGTGTTACAAGGGGTGCGAACCCTTGTCCCAGAGGAGGGGGGTGGCTTATATAGAGTGCGCCAGGACCCCAGCCGTCCCCCGCTACAGGGGTTCAATGTACATTAAGATAGGGCGTTACTGGTAATGCCAGCTATAAAGTGCTATTAATGATCTTTAAGACTATGGAGTGAACGCCTGACCGTTGCCATCCTGAGTGACTCTAGATCTTCTGTACTCCGAGTGGTTTCCTGTATGGTCGAATGACTCCATCCAAGTCGAGTGAAATTGGGGGTATCCGAGTGAGGTGACTGGTCGAGTGGATTGCACTCGATGGCTTCAGACGGTACTTCTTGTTATACTTTGAATACCCTTGACTCTAGGGTAGTGACCTTGGGTAGGGCGTATAGGTCAGGCCTATGACCCTACCCTAGGTTCATGGCATCGTCGGTGAGTTCTCATATAAAGAGGTGAAACGTTTTCTTGGCTGACAACGCCCTAATATTTGGCTGGCCATATGAATTAACGGATAAATAGTTGGAAGGAAAGGAAATTTTCGGCAGGTGGAAAAGAAGTACTTCTCAAGTCAGTAGGAGTACCTGGGCTGGTCTCAGGACAGTGACTAGCAAACTTTAATTGCAGAGGGCAATTGGAAGATACAGTGGCGGAAGCAACAGTGTTGCATGCCTTATGGGATTTCACTGGCGCAATCTTCAGGGTGCTACAAGCTCATAGTGTTGAAGGGACATCTTGCCCCTGATGAGGATTTTGGTCTTAATGGCATTCTATTTAGAAGACTAAATATGTTTTGAGTGCTTACATAGGACATACACTATTCAAAATGAAAAAAGGAAGTTGGCCGACGACTATCTAAGCAAAAGATTGAAAGAAGACATCACGTCAATTTTCAAATGATAATTTCCCGTTTCTGATTTGTAGGTATGCCATACTATGAAAAGGGGATACATCGTGGATCTAGGTGTGGAAACTAGCAAACTAAAAACAAGCCAAAAACACCCAAAACGTATGAAAAAGAGAGCCTCAAAAGATGCTTGAGTGTTTCTCTCTAGTGAACCTTCTAGTAACCTCGAACCCTGCATGAGGCCTTCTAGAAAAAATAAAATGTTTCTATTTTGATCTCGGATGCTCCTCAGAGGTGAGCGCCCCCCAAGATGTCCTTGACTGGAAACACAATATTTATGTTTTTGCTCGGATGCACCTTGGAGCTCCCCTGGACCCTCTGCGGCTTCTTGAATCCTCAGAACTTAACATAAAGTAAGCATTCTAGGAATATTTTGGGTAAGCCTAGAAGGCACCTTCTTCCCCATGAAGAAGGTGACAACCTACACTCTCTCTCCATGATTGTTGTACATCTTCGAATCTTGATATCTTCCTCCCTAGCCATCCATTCCACCTGTACGCGGGGGGGGGGGGGATCCAAATCTACAACTCCAACAAAGCAAAACTTGAGTTCGTTGATTCCCCACGGGATCCTTTGCGAATATCGCTACTCTTGGTTGGGAAACCCTAGACCGGCTGTTACCTAATAGCTTCCAAGTTGTGTGGTTGTTCTCTGGGCTCCTCATTTGTGAGGGTCTGGAGCTCGCCTCAAGAGCTACCTCTAGTGAGAGGGTGCTTGGACATTCATTGGCCAAGGCACTCAGAGACTTACGTGTTTATTTTCCGTGTGTACCTTTATAGCTTGTTGTAACACATCATATAGGTTGCATCACTTAGTTGCATTTGTAGAGAACTTACAATTCCGCACATGCCTCTGAAATCAACTAAAACAAAGATTAAAATTGGTAGTCGCCTATTCACCCTTCCCCCTCCCCTTAGTAGACATATTGTGCATCTTTGATCCTTCGACTGGAATAATATAGAGGTGATCCATACAATGAATGAAGGAGTTGTTTTCCTAGGGTGGTGATGCAACTTGTTTTTAAGAATCAATGCCCTTTATTAAACAGTCAAAACGGTTGGAATACCAACATCGATTGCGGTGAAAGAAATCACACTCAACGGTCAGTTATGTAATGAAGGGCATATCTAGACAGATTTGCGCCTATGCATTATAGGCTCAATTCTCACGAATAAGAACTACATAAGCTAACCTTCAGCTAAGAAACTTGATTTTGAGAATAAGGTGATCATACCTTCCCATTCCACTTTCCTTTAAGCTTTTGCATGCACCTTGCAGTCACTTGCAATTCGGGCATGGAATATGTTAAGATCTCTAGGTAAAGCTAAGCCTTCACGACAATTGTCGGAGTAGATTCCGGCGGACCCGGGTTCAGGTCCTCGTGGCGGAGGTAAACCCTGCTCCTTCTCTGATTATATTGATTGGATGTGATACACTGAGTACATGGGTGTCATAGGTATACAAAGAGTAGATTGTGTGCCTATTAACTAACCCTGCCTCGGCTCATAAAGGATGCTCGAGGCTAGGGTTTACATCAATCTTAGATGGTATCTAAAGCGGTGGAGTAGTCTTCCTGGAAGCCGACCTCCTTGTTTTGTGCTTCAAGTTTCCCGAGCCTTCCCTTCCAGAGGGCCCACATGTGGGATCATGGCACGGGTGCACGCCGACCTTGGGGACCTCGAACCGGCATGATGAGGCAACTTTTGGCGCCATAACACCGTCAACAGCCCATCACCTTCAAGACCTTCGAGTGAGAAACTCCCGGCTAACCCATTGTTGGCGAGCCCGGATAATTTCCTCTGCCCGTCCGTCACTATCACCACAGCCGCAACCGCAACATAGTCAACACTGTTCTTGACGATAGTGTCTACTATGAACTTTCAATAACGCGCCGGGGGTGGAATCTAGCATGACGTTAAACATTGTACTAACACTGTTATGAGTAAAATAAAGAAGAGATGTTTAATGCCGGAGGAAAAGGCCAGAATAATGGCTTTCCTTCATTATTTAGGGTCCAAAGCATCTTTACACAAATGGCTTTCCTCCATTATTTAGGGTCCAAAGCATCCGAGCCTCCAGTTTCGTTGCTTGAAGCCATTTCACAGCTTGGAGAACCACAATTTGAAAAGCAAACCAGTTGACCAAAGCCATTAAACCCAAACCCATCCGGACTCTTCGAGAGAGAAAGAGGCGAAAAATAAACGCAGAATTTCCGACTCCCCGATGCCGCCCATCTCCCTCCTCCCCCTCCTCCTCCTCCTCCTCCTCGCCGGCGCCGCGGCGGCGGCCCCGGCCCCGGCGGAGCCCCCGACCCCGACCCCGGCTCCCCCGCCTCCGCCGGCGAAGAACAAGACCATCTACGAGCTCCTCCCGCTCTTCGGCCTCCCCGCGGGCGTCTTCCCGGCCAACGTCACCGCCTTCTCGCTCGCCGGCAACGGCAGCCTCGCCGTGGACCTCGCGGGGCCCTGCTACGTGCACTTCGAGTACCTCACCTACTTCGAGCCCCGCGTCACGGGGGTCCTCCGCTACGGCTCCCTCACCGAGCTGGAGGGCGTGCAGGTCCGCCGCTTCCTCGTCTGGTTCAGCGTCGTCCGCGTCAAGGTCGACCTGCCCCCGCCCCCGCGCTTCGTCTACCTCGACATCGGCTGGATCACCCGCAAGCTCCCCGCCGCCGACTTCCAGTCCGTCCACGCCTGCGAGGCCGGCAAGCGGCGGAGGAGGTGCCGCCTCTCCTCCGCGCTCGCCGCCGCCGCCGCCTGGTTCCAGGTCCGATGCACTCCGCCCCGCTGCCCTCTTGAGCTGTTTGATTGAATCCCACGGGTTACTGAATTTTGATTTACTGGATGGATACTAGCAGCTTTGTTGGTAATTTTAGTCCCGATTATTAGATCATAAATTAAGCTGTCGATTCATCTTAGTTTCGTGGGGGACTTTGATCTTTCTAGAGGCTTACTCCTCCAGTGGTAGTTTGCTTTGACTAAATGTACATTTCTGAGGTGCTGCGTAATGCTGAAGGAAAAACAAGCTGATAGTCACCTCCTGTGTTCGGATTTTTACATGGAAAACGATAGATGGGACATGATTAATTGCAGATTAGCATGTGTGGTTGCATCCTGTGCAAGTTCTCTGGAGTGGTAGTTGGTTCTGAGTAGCTGTACATTTCTAGAGGCTTACTCTCGTGTGGTAGACTGGTAGTTGGTTCTGAGTAACTGCATATTTCTGAGGTACTGCTTAATGCTGATTCGGAAACAAGCTGACTGATAACATAATTAATTGCAGATTAGCACATGTGTTTGGATAAATTGAAGTATCAGTTCATCGTAGCACTCTTAGTTTCGTGGGCGACTTGTGTTCTTTCTAGAGGCTCACTCCAGTGGTAGTTGGCTTTGACTAAATGTACATTCCTGAGGCACTGTGTATTGCTGTTCGGGAAACAAGCTGATAGTTGCCTCATGTGTTCAAGTTTTACATGGAAAACGAAAGATGGGACATATTTAATTGCAGATTAGCATATGTGCTTGCATCCTGTGCAGCTTTTCTGGAGTGGTCATAAACTGGATATCCTATAACGAGAGACATGTTACGCATTTACTTGAAAAGGAAAAAACAAATGGTAATACAGAACCGGTAAGCAAGGTTGATTGCTGTGCTAGAGATGCCAATGAAGTGCAATAAGCAGGTTGGTATTCAAGTCAGTCAATGGTTTGTGGCGTTGTGCCATTTTTGAACTGTGTATCCTCAACGGAGTTACTGGTTAATATTACTGGTAGAGAATTAGCTTTGTACCATCTCAAAGGTGTGTATAACTTGGGGAAAAAACAGTCGAATATGAGGATAGCTTGTAGGGCCCAGGGATACATGGCATTGAAACGTTCCCAGCTGGACGATCTTTGTGATGGTATTAAGAAATTGCCGACATATAATAGTAATCATATATAGATGATTACTTTGTTCTTTACTTACCCTCTGGCAAAATTAAACTTGGGGTTGGTCAGTGTATGCACTTCTCTTTGACCAGATATATCATTATCCAAGTGGCGTGAAAATAGCTACACTTCTTGTCACATCATTTCCTGAATTTGACTTGTGTGCCACTAATTTTATTTCAAAAATGTTGCACATGGCTTGTAGATAATGCGGTTGGTTATACTTGTACATCAAAGATTTAATCAGAAATATGTCTTTATCATGGCACCAGAGTTTCAATGCTCTACCTGTCTGCTGCATTAACTTCCTGTTTCTTAAATACTGTTATGAACCTTGCAGGACTTCTTTGCCCAATTTTAGGGGATGCAGAAGGTCTAATTTTGTGGCAGCATCACACGAGGTAAATGCAGAATTTTACTCTCTGTTTCCGTGCCCTTTAGTACAACCATGTAGATGTTCCAATCATCCCTGTTGATACATTTTGATTTCCGTGGATCGTCTTCTGTGAGGCACACGTAGTTTGGGGGTATGCATGTGGCCATGGATCTATTGCTATGACTGAAGAAACATTTTTAAATTGAGCAAAAAATATATTTGAGAGGCATATGTTCTGTTTTTGCTGTTTCAAACTACAGAGAACCTTGCAGATTTGCTTGGCTCCGTTTCCTTTTGGAATTCTCCTAACTATGCATTCTTGATCACTGACAAACATGGATCTGCAGACTTCTCTGTTTACAAACTCTTCTTTTCTTCTTGGTTTTTCTTGTGAAAATCGATGACATCCCTATATAGAGACCTGTTCAGTTTAGGTAGCATGCCTTCTGATGCTGGTACCTTGAAATAACAAGGGTAGCACTGGCCATCTCCTCTTCTGGACAAATAACAGTGTGGATATGATATATTTATCCAAAACTTGGTCAGAATGGATCATAATCTAGACAAATCTTGTCTTGTTTCTGGTGACAGATTTCAGACCATTACCTAATAAATGTTAGGCATTGAACACATCAAGTATACAGAGTAGTGACGGCTGTGCCCCCAAATTTGGAAAATACGTCTAGAACAAAACAAGAATCTGGGAATGGCCCAGGAGAGCTGTTGGTTGTTGGCTTTTTACACCCTCATTTTAATGCAAAGTGTGTCCTGATTTTTTTTTCCTGTTGGTGGTTGGTTTTTTTACACCCTCGTGTTAATGCGAAGTGTATCCTGCTAATAATTTTTTTCGGAGAAACATAGTTACACTCACCGCTATGAACGCACGCACACACCCTATCCCTATGAGAGCATCTCCGCACACACACCCTATCCCTATGAGAGCATCTCCGAGAGACTTAGCGGACACACTTGAGAGCCACATTTTTAGAAGAGACTGAGCAGACTGACCCACATCTATCTCTGAGAGATTGAGTCGACACACGCTACCCCTGCTGATCTTGATCGTAGCACGTCTGAACTGTTTACCTACACCCATTAATGTACCGAAGATGTGCATGTTTTTTTTATCTCATTATATGCACCATTTTAGATCTCTGGCCGCTTGGACTAATTTATGCTGCCTACTTTCTTTAGCTTACGGCCTTCCGCGTCCTAAAGGAATTGGAGCGCTACACTCCCATTTGTTGATTGTTACACACGGTGTATGTCTCTACGAGTACTCGACGCTGCTGTCTGAGCTCTACATTTGTTCGAGAGACGCACGATCTTTAAGAAAGATTTGTATTGGTTATTTTAGTCCGAACCGATCATGCTGTGTGCTCCACGCTTCGATACAATAGCACTTCAGTAGTGGCATGTAATATCATTTTGTTGGAACTTTAAAAGGTCTCCACAGAAGTTTCCTCCTTGCGTGTTAATAGCAGCAACCACTCTGGTGTGCAATAAGCGAACCTGTCTCTGTAAAACTCAAGAACCAAGCCCTGAGACTCTCAGCAGGAGTACATTTTGTGCTCGGAAACTAAAACAGAACTGCATGGCATATACTTTCAGGCTTCCATTTTCAGCTCAACCTTTCTGCCATGAATAAGCCATTATCAGTGATGCTGAATATCTCAACCCTATTTCACATTCTCAGATTAGGGTAGCAAGTATTCTGGTTTTAATAATTAGAGTGATATTAGATTTCGACCTCGGCTCACGGAGAAGAGAACATGGCTCCCTTTTAGCAGCACTAGCACCAAGATATATAAAATGATGCTTCAAGACCTTATTCTCCCCAAGTTGCTCTTGCATTCTGACTGATAATATCGTCTGATAAAGTAACAACAGTGCAAAGAGGAGTACAAAGAGCATTCAACCATTCACGGCGACTCATGTATGTTTTGGCCTACGTTCGGGGTTTGCGGAATTATGTTGAACTGGGCGGGCGATGGTCCCGGAATACAGAGGAAGAGCCACCGGATGCAGCAGGGGAAGGCGACGATGCTACAAAGTTGGTTGCTGGTAATGATGCCGAGGGGTGGTGTCCCTGATGCCCAGTACCTGCGAAGCGAGACGGGCTTGCTGTAGAGAAAGGTGCTGCTGGACTTCTTGGAGTGTTGCCCTGTAGTAAGATAACAAAGTGGTTTTAGCTCAAAACGGACAATATCACACAGTTCAGTCGCAGCGATCATTATATTCTGCTAGAAACACTTCGTTCCACCAAAATGGTGGATACAAAAAGGAAATCCAAAACATGTAACAACATTCTCAAGCCTGAGAACTTTAAGAAAATCAGGATTTATTGCTGAAATGAAATTACTAATGTAGACTCATTTTCGCTATTAATTTACGTTGATTCATTAAAGCATCCAATAGCGAAATATAGATCTGAGCTCGAGACATGGCCAATTGCAAAAACTTACAGGGTTGTGGTTGCGAGAACCGAATGGAGACCTAGCAAAAGAGGCTGTTGAAGGGGAAATACTGTGGACATGATGCAAGGGGCGTCCAGGAGTGCCCTGGTTGGAACCAGCATCTGACTCCCCAGCAAACTCGCTGAAATTGACGTCAACGGTCATTCTGGGCACCTGTCTAGGAACACTTCCATCAGCTGTGTTTTCTGACGGCTGAGGCATGGCAGCACGCAGTGAAGCCTGCATGCTACGTGTTCTGATTTCTTCTTCGGCATTTAGAATCTGCTCAAACAGCCAAAATTAATCTTGCTTAGTACACTGACTAGTGACCACCCCGGATAATTACTCAAAGAAAATAGAGCAAGCAACAACCCATATGTTTGCACTTACTGTGTAACTCTGTATACATATAATAACAAGGTTACATTGCATATGCACAGCAACATGGTTAATATTTTTACAAAAGCCATGTTTGAAAGCCTACTATAATTCCACCCGTTTCTTATGTCAGTTAGCATATATAATCAACTCCAATTACTTTGCAAAACTTCATTAGAAACCGGTGCATATTTAAACTATGAATTTATTATTTATTTAATCAGTTTCACATTCAGATGGGATAGCAAGTTTACAATTTTTGGATTCATATATTTCAAATAGAAGAAAAACTCATTCGAACCAGTGTATTTCAAGTGGCTACTCGATTAACGATGAAAACAGTCAAGCCACACACATTATCACCTGAAGTTGTGAACCACCGAATATCACATGGTATTTTAAGCAGACTGGACCGTAACAGGGATGAAGAACATAGCAACTTGTCCCAAACCGCAAGCGCCAGTCAAGACAATGAGAAAATTATTACCTGCTTCAGCATCTGCACAAGATCATGCTTTTTCTTACTCAAGGTATCCAGCTTGTCGGTGAACTCTCTCTTCCTTTCTTCAACTCCATCAGGCTGACCCACCTAAAACAGAAATAGGACTCAGAGGTCTAGATGAAAAAGAGAACACACAAATATTTGGTGCTCGCAAGCATAATGCACGAAGCTTCCAAGCATAGGTAGTTAGCTTGCAAACGAAGAACGGTATGTGTGGTGTCGTTAATCAATTCTACTCAGAAATAACGAAGCACTCAGCAAAATCTCCGTGGAAAACTCAGGAATTAAACTGTTGTTCAGCAGCAACCAATAATATATTTGTATTCTCAGGAAAGAGCTGACTGTTGTCCAGTGTGGCCAAGAAGCTGAATTGTTGAGTAGGAGTATAAAACTCAAAAGCATCATTACTTACTGGCTTATTCCAACCCAGAAACGGAAGAGGCAACCTAGGAATTTCATCCTACTTCCAACACTGTGCTAAAAGTCTAGATTCTAAGATAGAACCACCATAATACTACCATGATGAGTAGCAATTCCGAAAATCTACTGTCAGGGCTTCACAAGTAGTCATCCATCAATGACATGAATCTAATCTCAAAACATCTACATAAGTCCCCAAATGAAGGGCCATTGTTAGCAGGATGGCAGCTAAAATCCCACATAGATCAACAGGAAGCTATGAGGAGCCATGAGTTTTCACGAGCCTCACCTCCGAGTTGGGGTCGAAGCCTTCGCTTTCGCCTTGCCCTTCTTCAGGGTCACCATTGCCGGCAGCATCTGCGTCTCCGGCGACCACCTCCCCCGCATCGTCCATTTCCACATCCTCCACCGCCCCCTCCTCCTGCTCCTCCTCCTCCTCTCCTTGCTGCTGCTCGTCTTGCCCATCTCCCTCCACCTGTTGATGCTGCTGCTCATCATGTCCCTCTTCCTCCCCCTGATGCGGCTGCTGCTGCTGCATCGGCACATCATGCCCCTCCTCCTGCCGCTCGGCCTGATGCTGCTGCTGCTGACCCCCGCCCACCTCCTGCGCCTCTCCCACGGCCGCGGGGGCCGCGGCGCCGTCGTCCGGGCGGGGGGTGGGGGAGTTGGGCCGGGGGGCCCCGGCGAGGCGGGAGACGGCGAGGGAGCGGCGGTGGAGGAGGCGGCGGAACTGGGACGCGGAGAGCGTGGGCGGGGGCACCGGCCAGCGGCGCGCGGCGTCGTCCCCGCCCCGGTGGAGGTTGCCGCGGTACATCGAGATCGCCACCATCTCGCCCTGCCCGTGTGGAGGTGGAGGTGCGCCGGGTGGGGTTTCGCTCTTCCGCTTCGGGTGCGAGCCGAGCGCCGGCGGCGGCCCCGGGTTTCGGTCAGCCGCCGTTGGGCCTTCACGGCGGATCTATCCTTCGCGTTCTCCTTGTGGAATTCGTCGCGGGTGCTGACCAAACTGCGGGCGGGCCTTCGGATTAGTTGCTGGGCCCTCCCGGTTTTCTAGCTCATTTACTGCTGGTTAGCTTTGGGTTTTTTCTTTTTGGTTTTTGAGAGAACAGCTTTGAGTTACTTTTTTTTAAGGGTAAAGCCAATCTACATTCAGCAAAAGCCACAACGACCTGGACCAAATGTGATGACCTGGACCTAGAGTAAGAGAATGCTTGACTAAACTATGCGCTTCATGATTGACAGCACGACCTTCGAAAATGAAATTACAGTTGAAAAGAGCTGCTAAAGATTTAACCTCACTAACTATTAGCACCGTTTCGTCCTCAGTTTCCTTTTGCGGTCTCAGTGATGGCTTGCCTCGAGTCGGGGGATATAATGAAGTTCTGCAGATTGAGATCCTGCGCCAATGCTGAACCTTCCCAGAATGCGATTGTTTCCAGAGTGGTTGGGTCTTCAACACATGGAATGACCAATGCTGAGCTCCCAAGGAAATTACTTGCACTTTCCTGGCAAATTGCCGCTGCCGAACCACCTCTGGTTGATCTCATCCTCGCATCTACATGTTTTTTGCGTGCCTACTCGTTGGAGCTCTTGGGTAGCATTGGGGACGCCTTGTGCACTTGCTATCTGTGTTTCTCTGACCACATTTAGCTCACCGATGAACTTCGTAATGAAGGCATGCGTGCTTGTGGTGTTTGGAAAATGCCTTCGTGAACAACTTTGCAACATGCATGCCAGACCGACCAGAGAGTGACTGCTAGCAAAATAAATCGCTCGTGGGGCAGTGATTCCATCAATGTAAACTACTAGTGTTTCGCATTCGGTTCTGTTATTGTCATCACGAGGGTATTGATAACCCACAAGTATAGGGGATCGTTTGTAGCCTTTTTTGATAAATAAGAGTGTTGAATCCAACGAGGAGCTAAAGGTAGAACAAATATTCCCTCAAGTTCTATCAACCACCGATACAACTCTACGCACACTTAACGTTTGCTTTACCTATAACAAGAATAAAACTAGAAGTATTCTGTAGGTATGAAGGGATAAGTTTGTAATATAATAAAGAACATGAAAATAAAAGTTAGGTGTTGTTTAGATAAAGAAACAATTAACTTAGTATAATGAGTGTGGATTAGTAGTGGTAGGATTTGCGGAATTGTCCCTTGGCAATTGACTATGTTACTAAACCGATAGCAAGTTTTTATGTGGGAGAGGCCCTTGTTAGCATGTCATCCCTTACTTGGAACTCTATGCACTTATGATTGGAACTTTTAGCAAGCATCCGCAACTACTAACATTCATTAAGGTAAACCCAACCATAACATTAAGATATATATTGGTCCTCCTTCAATCTCGTATGCATCAATTTCTATGGTAGGAAGAAGCTTCTGTCACCCTTGCCCTCCAATGCATAGCCCTATCAGCATACAACTTTCCCACTTCTTCGTTCATGTAACCTTTTGTCACTGCAAGTACTTCCCGACCGCTTCGCTTCCTTATATGTCCTTTCAGTAATGCGCTCATAGTTGGTTTGCGGTGGAGACGGTGGTGGTCGCTGCAGGGCATCCAAAGTGTGCTTCGCTTTCACCGGATCTATCTTCTCCTCCGGAGGTGGATGTTTCTTAGCTCTTTGCGTTTTGAAGTAGTCCTTCACTTGGGCTTGATAGATATCCGCATTTTCCTGTTCGGTCATCTCGTATGGTAATTTTTCTGGAGTCTTGAAAGATGGACCGAATATGTATTGCCTCCCGCCTCTGGATGTACTACTAGATGCCGGAGCAGGCCGAGCGGCTGCGGCTGCCTTCTTTCGTTGCTTACAAGGTAGAGGAGAAGGACTACGACGCGCCGGAGCAGCCGGAGCGGCGGCGGGTCTCTTCCACCCTTGCTGATAAGGCGGAGAAGGAGGAGGCTGGCTGGTCGGGCGCGGGCGGAGAAGTAGGAGGCTGGCTGGTCGGGCGCGCCGGCCCAATCAAACCACAGCCAGGGCGCATGGCTTCTCTCTCTGTCTTGCTCCTCTCTCGATCCCCTCCAGGTCCAGCCGCCACCGCCGAACGCCGACCTCCGTCCTCTCCCCCAACCCCAACCCCAACTCCAACTCCGGCCTCCACTCCACCGCCGGCGATCCATCCGTTCCCCTTCTCTCCCTCGCCGTAGATCCGCTCGAGCAGCGCAGCCCACGGTCAGATCAGATCCTCGCGCCCGAAACCCTAGACCTCCGGCCATGGCGACCGGCCGTAGCACAGGTATGAATCCCTCCTCCCCTTCTCCTCCTCCTCTTCTTCTTCTTCTCTCTCTCCCTATCTCTCTCTGACCCACATCTCACCTCGTCTCTTCTCTGTAGGTTGGAGGTGCCACCATGGATTCCTCTGCCGGGGACGCCGCCCAAGTGCTCCTCAAGGCCCGCTGCTCCTTCTTCCTCCTTTTCCTCAAATTCAAGGGCAAGCAGCAGCACACGCCATCCTCAAGGTCCGCCCCTCTCTCTCCATTTCCTCTTGCTGGCCTGACCTGACCTGATGCATGTGATTTCCTTTCCATGGCAGGCGCACGGTTCTTCTCTTCTCTGATGGATGGATGGATGGATGGATGGGTTGGTCGTGGAGGAGGAGAACGACCAGGAGAATAGGGATCCCGTCTCTTCTCTTCTCTTCATCAATGCCGGCCAGGAACAATGACCCAGCCACCCCTCAAGGAAAGGTAAAGGTACTCTCTTCATCCCCAAATACAAGAAACATTCAAGGTTGGCCTTCGAAACCAGTGGTGTTGCATTGCTAGTTTCTTTCACTTGCACAATGCCCATGATTTTGGATCTCACTTTAGGTCCTTGTTTAAGACCGGCCAGACATAATGGGTGCACCGCCTTCTCCATCTCTATATGCTTAATTACCTTGCTTCACACCAACATTTCATTTCTTAACCAGGCAGGCTTTCTATATGAGCCGGCCTGCAGCAAACGCTCCTCTGCGTAAGTGTGTTCGCCAAACTGCGGTCAGCCGGTGACCTCTTCTTTCTGGCCAGCATCGCACTTCCGTTTCTTGATGAATGGGTTTTACTTAAATCGTAGGCATGCAGAGAGTTAGAGCCAATCCAGATTTGAGAAACAACAGCTACAGGTGACGACCGTTATGGCCGTAGCGCCCAACTTGTCTCCTTCCTCTGTTGCCACCCTGGCCGGTCTGTCCATTGGTGTTGCTTTCTATATGTAACAATAAAGCATGGACTGACACATGCCAAAACGCGCTTTGGTCGCCGGGCTCCAGGGACCTCAGTTCCACTTGAGTTACGATGCTTTCTGTTTCTTGAATTAATTCCAAGTTATACACACAGATAGTTAGAGTCAAATGAGATTTGAGAAGCAACTGTACAAGCTCAAATGTTTGTTCGTCGTCAGCAAATGTATTGCTATATACTAGTGGCTAATTTATAAGTACCATATTAGCAAAGTACTCCGTCCTATAATATAAGAGTGTTTTTGACACTAGTGTAGTGTCAAAAAGGCTCTTATATTTTGGGACGGAGGGAGTAACTTTTTTATGGCATACTTCGATGCCAATTTTCATATGTTATATTGATCCGTATGAGTAGTATCTGGTCAAACATCCAAAAGGTTTGCTGGAATGGATAAAAAACAAAACCCTTTTTTAAAGTTCTGCACTATATCCAAAAGGTGTCTGTGTGTGTGTGTTGTCCTGTTTATTATCCGTGCCGCAGAGCATCTATAAGGGAAGGGGGGCTGTTTTGCTAGTTTCCATTAATATTTGTTGTTTTGATGCTTTCTGTTAACTGAAGCTGTGCTTTCTTTTTCATGTGTGGGTGGCAGGCAGGAGTGCAAACCCTTGGAGTTCATGTAGAGGAATCCGCTCTCATGGGTCACAGAGGCCCTCCTCCCATCAGAACCGGGCTGCCTGTTGTATGTACAGGTGAGCCCTCTCTGTCAATCCAAACCGTGTTCCTAGTGTGTTTGCTTTGAAGAACAGACTGCATCTTGTGGATAAGTTCTCTGGAAAGGTTCCTTTTATTTGACAGCCTCTGGAAGACTTATAGTATTGTGGGTGGTCCTATTGCAGCCCAATCTACCAATGTAAATTCCATTTTATCTAGAAAGACTAGGCATGTTTTTTCTTTGTGACAATAAAAATAAGTACTAGTAGTAGGTTCCGTTGGATGGTGTCTAATGTAATAAAGAAAAGATTACCAGATGGATAGCCACTCAGAATACACCCTAACCCTAGCGAGCGGCCGCAGCGCCTCATTGTTGCCGAAGATTTTGTAGGAGGATTCATGTGTTTGATTTGAACCTAAGTGCTTGCTGTATGTACACCATGTTAATGATTTTTCTAAGATTCTGTAGTAGGATTCAGGTGCTACCATACATAGCTTTAGTTCTTACATGAATTTTCTTATCTCTGCTAATGATTTTTTTAAGATTCCCTAGCTGGTTTTCTTATCTTTGCTAATGAACTCTTCTTGTGCGAGTTTCAGTTTTAGATGTTCTGCGCACTGACCGATGGATGCCCTTTTATTCAGATTTTCTATGATTTCTTGATCACTAGATTTCTTGATTACCGATGTTCATTCTGCAGTATATATGTATGCAAATTTAGTACTTCTGCTGATGAAGTTAATGCTCAGTCGCTATCTTCAATTTTTTTTGATTCAGTTTCTTTTTGCTGCAAGAGATGCTCCTGCTATACGGTGTCTAGTTTGTTTTACAAGCTGCCAGAGCCATTTTATATGCTAGTTAGCTCCAGTACAGTCAGTTTTCATTATCTTATCTCTACACTATGTTTATAGCATTCTAGATTTTTTCAGAGATAGGAAAGCTCTACATATCCA